ACACACACACACACACACACACACACACACACACACACACACACACACACACACACACACACACACACACACACACACACACACACACACACACACAGAGAAACTGTCTGTAGGTTAAACCTGACAGCCTGTTTCTCATGCAGAAGCTGTAGATGTAAACAAGGATGAGGAGAGGGGAGGAGCAAGCCTGTCTGTAACAGTAAAAACTGCAGAGTAATCAGTGTAATGACGCCTGTGGAATCACAATGTTAATCACAATTTTGCTGATTATTGCACTGATGTACAGTCTTACACTGACGTCCCACTCGCACGACTTTGTAATGTGTAAGTAGGAGTTTGCATCACTGTATCTGTTGGTGGGAAAGAAAGAAAGAAAGAAAGAAAGAAAGAAAGAAAGAAAGAAAGAAAGAAAGAAAGAACGGTACCTGAACTCTCTGAATAAGTTAAGTCGGTCATAAGTGCTGGTGACCCACATTGGTTCGCGCTCAGATTTGAGCACGGACATCATGACGCATCTCTTCTGCTTTTTAATACCTCGCACTAAACTGACAACTTAAAGCCCAGTATCTCTGAGCAGCAACATGCTGATCGCTGCCTCTCCGGCTGAGGATTGAAACTATTTGGGGAGCTGGATGGATAATAGCGCGTTCACAGTGCATGGATCATTGCATTACTGTCCCACTGGAGATTAACTGATAAATGGCTCTGTGGGGGGAAATAGAGCTGCAACAGACTGGCTCCACTGTCTTTCCTCCCATTTCCTAGGCTGTTTCGGTTAAGAAGACCTGATTTAATGCAGCTATTTATCATTCCATTTTTTGCAATGTGTTTTCATTGTATTTTGACCACTGCATGTGCATATTTTACACTTTGCTGCACCCAAAGTTTCCTGTTTATTGAGCTTTACTGAAATTTAAGATGAGTCTTATGATGCCAGTCACAGAGTTTAACAGAGGAAACAGAAGCTTTGGAACGTATTTCTTTTTCACAGAAGATATTCTGACTTGTCAAAATGTTTGTTGTGAAAAAGCCAGATTGAATAAGGCTATGTGGGTTTGGCGGTTTTTATTAGCGCGTTAATTAGTGCATTAGTGCAGAAATTATTGGTCCATCAATCAACTAGTTGATTCACAAAAAAATCAATCACCAACAATTTTAATAATTGATCATTTGTTTAACGCATTTATCGAGCTAAAAAACTCAATACATTTACAACTTTAGCTTAAATAACTGTGGATATTAAATATTTTGGGGGTTTTGGATCAGACAAAACAAACAATTTACAGACATCACATTGGGCTCTGTTTGTTTTTTTTTTGTCATTTCAAAGGATGAACCATTAATATTAATCATTTAATCAAAAAATAATAACTGAGAAATCTGAGCGGATCTGTGTGAAACTGTGACGCAGATTTATCCATTAGTTAGCATCTTTTGGTTTTGGACTGTTGGTGAGGCAAAACAAACAATCTGAAGAAGTCACCTTGAGCTCGGGAAGTTAAAATGAAAATAAAAATAACTACTCCACATTTTGCTGCCTGAAACAAACCCTACTGAGCGCATGGTCTTCAGATGGGAACCCTTATGAGGTGAGAGCTGTTTGAAAGGGATTATTCTGGTCTTTGAACGGCAGCTGAGTTGATAAAATTCTAATTTCCCGCCACATAAATATTACATTCACCTCTGCTACATCTTGATAAGCCGTTTATCCCCACACAAAGACATTGAAAACACAAACAGTGTGACGTGAAAGACTTGGTGGTGACAACTGCCAGGTAAATTCTAACTAATGTGGTTCTGCTTTTTCCTCACCACAGACTCAGGTCTAAAAGTGAGAATACATTAGTTGAGAGAAAGCTGACATCAGCACAACATGGGTGAAAATAATACAATAGAGTAGTGTAAGCTATGTGGGTTTGTGTCTGTGCTTGTGTGGCCTATCCATCTCTGCCTTCCCTCTCATTAAAATGCAGCTTCTCTCTCTCTCTCTGGCGGATCCAGAGCACAGCCACAGCGGTCCCTCTGGTTTAAAAGCACTCTGAATCCAGGCCAGGGGCTCAGGGGCACGGATCACTCATTCTGACCGTCTAAAGGACAGCTAACCAGCAGCACTAAAAGTCATAGTTTGTCCTCCTAAACAGGCTGTCATAAGACCACACAAGCCTGTAAGGAGAGCCTGACAGGAAACTGTGACAGATTGTCCAAAGGCAATAAAAAAAATCAAACATGTATGCAATCTAATCCCTGCACAAATGTTTTCCAAATGGACAACAATACATCACCACCAACACAGCACAAGAGAAAAATCAATTAATCCATTCCCAATCCTTCAGCTTCTAATGCATGAGGCCATTACTGAGTTTCCAATTTGTCTGCAGGCTTCGGTGGCATTGCCTCATTCCCGCATAACCGCTTTGCATTTATTTAACGGCAGCAAATAACAATGAGGATAGAAAAAGGGGGCGAGTTATAAGATGTTCTGATGTTTCTCTAACCTCTGTGCAGCTTTCTTACTTCTATTACGCATCGAATCACTTCCATCGACCCAAAACTTTAAAGTAAATTTGTTCCTCTCTAGATGGCTCCATGAACACCAGTTTCAAACAAAGCGACGCTTTGGAGACACGGTTGCCTCGAATACAAACTAACTTGGAGCTCTGTTGGCTGACCCCGTCACAGCTGACTCTACATCCACCAGACGCTTTGCTCAGAAGCAGAGTAGAGCTGTTTTCGTCTCAACAAGCACTACCTGTCAGGGCCGGCGGGGACGGGGAGAGCAGCGTGGCTGCGCAAGAGCTTGTTTCATCAGGACATTTGCTCCATGAGTCAATAAAAAGCATCTAATTGGTTTCAGAAGAGGCTCGTCTCTGCCTCGGTGCTTGAACACAATACAATCACTGCTGTTATTGATCCACTTCTAGAGCGAGCCTGCAGGGTAGACAGAGATCACAGCAGTCTGACCGGCAGAGTAAACACTGTTTAATTAGTGATCTCACCTCACATTGGCTGCAGCCGACATGCCATTTCTCCACCAATGTTTTTTCAATGCTTTTTTTTTTTTTTTTATACCCGTGGGAAGATTAAAAGAAGCCTGCAAACCATTTTTCAAAGACCAATTCAGTGCAGGCCAGATTTTTGCTGCTAAATTGAAGCTGACTCTGATGAAAATGATATGACCATCAAATGAATTTAGCCTCTTTACTTCTTGTCTAATGTAGCAGCTCAGCTGCAGAAGGGGATGCCACGGCCGTTGCAGTCAGCCGTGACTCTCTACAAATGGTGTATATCTCCCAAATCCAGGTGTGTGTATGAGCTAGTGTGATGTGTCTCTGGGGTTGTAGAGTTGATGCACTGGATCAGTCTTCTGATTATGAGTGTGGATTTGTGGCAGACATAACCGGGACTAATGCTGGCTACTAATAAAATTAGACAAAAATATCTGTCTGGTCACACAGCCAACAATGAAATATGACCTGCTCCTGCTGGATTCATTCTAATGCACAAGTGCACATTAAACACAATTAGACAAATTGTGTTTAATGAGGTGACTCATGAGGTAATTCTCATTTCCAGTTGAGACCAAATTGTGATTATTTAAAAAGGTCAACAATCGCTGTTGGAAGGACATGTTGTTTAAAGGTTACAGTTCTTTTCTAAATCCTCTAGCAGATTCAGGAAGCCAGGTGGGTTGTAAAGCTTTGTTTAAAGATAGAAATATCGCCGGCTCACCGCCTTAACAAAAAAAAAAAACTCAGGGACTCAGGGCTGAGGAAGGAGAGTGTGAAAGACTAAAAAAGACAGTAGGGAGATTAAACCCAGAGAGTAACTTCAGAGGCTTCACCACAGACTTAAACATGGGTGTTGACATCGGGGTGAGAAGGAGAGAGGCAATTCTAAGGTTATGTAATGTAGATTAAAGATCATTCATCCTAGTATCACTGTACACTGAAATTTGTCAGACATAGTTGGCACCTACAGCTATACAGGAGCATGAAATGTTCGCTTCACACGTGTTTTAGTGTTCATTAGCGTAATGTTTCTAGCTTTGTAAAGCTGTTCTCAACACTTCTGTTCATGATAAGGAATTGATGACAAACCCAGACATTGGTGTCGCTGCATCCACTGTCTGGAGACTAAGAAGTCATGATTTATAGTATTTACAAGAAAATTACAACCAAACTTTCAGCTCTGGTAAACAGGAGGGAGGACAAAACAATGGAAACACAACGTGTCTCTAATGCATGACACTTAATCTGAACTAAGTTAATCATTACAGTAACCACTGAGAGGCTCTCATTAGTTTGCATGAAGATTAATAGTGGCATTTGTCACCCACCTGTACATACTGTACACTGTGTTCATTTAATTTCTCTGCGGGTTGGGTTTAGCTTCTAATTGCTGTTGTCAGTCATCATTTTCAAGGCAGCTGCTTTCGATTTAATAATTTCACAGTCTGTGGAAAAACGTTGGATTGAAACGTTGGTTCTGATCATATGAAGCGCTGAGGTCATAAATGGGGCTGTGTTTGCCATCATGCTTTGCAAATCAAAATGACATTGGCAGCTACACAGGCGAGTCATTACACTGAATGCTAATTTGCAGTTACCAACATTTGACCGCACAAGGTTTCCAAAAGATCTGTCATGAGGCCAAGCGTGTGACGTCTGGCTTCCAGCAGCACTGCTCATAAAAAAAAAAGAAAAAAAAAGAGAAGATGACGACTTTACTGCAGACGTACACACAGAGAGCTGAATCGGTCTTTACGTACGTCCTTATGTGTTTACATCCTGTCTTTAGAAGTTTCATGGTGCAGTGACAAAAGGTGATCCAACTGAATACTGAGGTTGCTGTGTGTTGCACAGCATTTCTACCTTAAGGTCTGTGACAAGGAGAGAGCTACAGTGGCCTACATGGGAGAATTTTTAAGATTTGTTTTTTTTGTACTGTACCAACTATGACTGAACCTGAAATATTCAGGTGGACAGACGATCAAAAGCTGGATTGGCTGTTGAGGTTTGCTCGTTTTGTCTCAAAAGCCTAGAAAAGGTAAGATGGTCAATCTTATCACTATTTACTTTGATTTCTCAGTATTGCATATTAAATGTGTTGTCAGTGATTTATGAATTTTGTTGTACACAGCGAAGAAAATTGTCGGTTTTCCTTAGTTTCTGGGATTTTTTTGTATTGTTTGAAAATGTACAGTATGTGCTGCTCCCTCAATCTGGTGGTTTGAATGTTGAATGTGCGATGTCTTGTAATGCCATGTGGGGCTGAGAGTAGTTGTATAAATAAAACAATAATAAAAAACTTAATTAATATATTAATTCATTCATTTATATTATTGCACATGTGAAAACACATGTTTATGATGATGAGAGCTGTGGTGTTTGAATGGGATGAAAACCTGCAAACACGTGGTTCTGTATCTGTTGAAGAGGAGTATGATAGGCTTGATGGAGGAGGAGAGAGTTTTCATCTTGACACATAAGTTGGCTGTCTCATTTCCAACATGGCCACCGGCTCAGGCGACCAGCTGGGTCCCTCCTTCTCTCCTCCATCAGTCCTCATTACTGACGAAAGCGACAGAGCCAACTCATAGTGGCGTTGCACACCGTGGGCTCTATAAACTTGTCGGCTTGGCAACAGCATCCCATTGCTCACTGAGACACTCCTCCATTCTGGCCGGTCATCAGCTGCAGCTCAGGCAGCTGGCTCACTGACTGAGAGTGAGAGGCCATGATAGCGGCCTCCTGATTCAACACACAACCAGGCGTAAGGATATCAGACTTGCTGTAAACAAATCATTTGACAGCACCGATCAAACCATGTCTGTCTGTTCTCTAGCGGAATGGACATGTACATCTACCAAACATCACTGAATGCTCTGCATAAAGCCTCTCACAAGAATGAGAAGAATCTGTAAGTGTGTGATGTAATGTTTGATATTCAATCATGTGCTGAATCCACCCAGATATTACTGTTCCTATACTGAAACACAAGCCAGACTCATGATAGAGCGGGAGGGGTTTCAGCTAGCTGAACATCGGATGAAGGTAATGGGATCATCTAACAGCTAATGGAGGGTGGCATCAATTGGATTAATGCACACAGACACAAACTGGAGTTGAATAGGAGTAAGTGGTGGAAGAGACCAGAGAGAAAAGGTCATAAAAGTGAGAAGAGAAGTCAACAAAGAAAGTGAGTTGTGGTCATGGAGAGAGTTATGGTCAATTTGGACATTATACAAAGGAAGTGAGGAACTCACCATGTAGTGCAGGTCGTCGAAACCATTGAGGAGAAGCTTGCTCTCGTACTGCGGCAGCCCCACGTGCTCCAGCCAGTCTCCCACGGGCTGGTCCAGCAGCCGGCCTGCAGCACCTGCTGACAGGGGAAAGCGCTTCAGGAGGGAGAAACCTTTTAACCGGTAGCAGCGGCACTCTGAGGATGAGACGTGGCATTGCCACATCATTCTCGGCCAGCAGAGCCGAGCGCACCAGCAACAGGAAGGCGGTGGAGACAGTGTCCTCTGTGGACAGGGCGTCAGCTCCCGCAGGGAAGCGGGGGCCGAACCACAGTCACCCAAGATGGATTAAAGAACCCCTGATCTCAGGGGTGAAGGAGATGATAACGGGATATGAGCTGGTTGACAACCAGCTAGTATCGGCCAAGTCCTCAGCTATGACAGTCAGCCGGGAACATGGCAAAAACACACTTACAATCAACACGATGCTACCTCACGTCAGGAGGTAACATTTTCTGTCCAAAAATAAAAGCTTGCTGCTGATTTAATTAAGCTCCAGCTTGGTCATGAAGAGAAAACTCACAGGAGTCAGAGAGGAGAGCAGCAGTTTATAACAGGTTTTCCAGGGGAAGGGATTTGTTTCAGCTGAGTGGAAAGTTCTTTGGAAACTTGTGGACAGAGACAGGAGACAGTTAATTATCACACAGGCTCATCCCTGATTCACAGAGCCAACCTACTCAGCATATAATCCACAGCACAAGAATCTGCCAGAGAACATGACAGTGCTCACATGGAAAGCGGCCGGACAGGCAGAAAATGCAGAGGGGCTAACACGACTGCAGCGAGCTGAGATTGATCATGAATAAAAGCTGTACTGACGGCTGTCAGCAGCAGGAGCCTCACCTATAGAAGGACAGATGATTGCATCTACTCCTGTGAACATGTAACTGCTATGTCACTCAAAACAAAAAGCTCATATTTTCTATGGTTGGAATCAATTAAAAAACACACTTAAATTAGGTGTAGTTGTCTTTAACTCTTGATTTGAAAACTCAATCAACCACAATTAACAGAATAAATCATATTTCTGTTAATGGAAAGAGTTACAAAGCTGCCAACTTACAGTAACAAACAGATGTCATAACCTAAAATAAAATGAATGTGTGAAATGCACATTTTAAAGCTTCGTGTTCCCTTCTTGGTGTTCTCATCTCTTCCACCTGCTACAAAACCAGTCCTGTTCCTGAGGAGATTTCCATGTCATGAATCCCATTCTAGTCACTCCAGAAGCGTGGAAAGGTGTCGAGGCAAAAAGAAAAAAAAAAAAAAATCCACTCAAGGATCCAATCAGCTACTTCAAAGAGCACTTTAGTAATTGAACTCCTCTGCTGACAAGAGAGAGTGCTAGAACTGTCTCTCTCTCTCTCACAGTTTGTGAGATGTGGTCAAGTCCAGCAAAAAGCTCCTGCAGTCATCTCCGGGCTGAAGAATGGACCATCTAATCCTACAGATGCCGAGGTGGCGTCCTTCTATTGTCCTAGGTTGTTCACAATACTGCTGCCTGCAATTCCTCTCTCCTCTCGTACTCACTCTCTCTCTCTCCCCTCATTGCATGCGCTTCCCCACTCCTCCCTCCCTCCCTACCCCTCTCCCCTCTCTCTCTCTCCCTCTCTCTGAAACACTGCAGGTGGCTGCTCTTTGTCAGTGTAAGCTACCGTTTGAGCCACAGACCCCCCCCCCAACCCCTCATTACTCGCGTTTGCTCTTGAGTTTCTGCATCTTCTGTGTCTCACTCTTCTTCTTCTTCTCTCACACTCGTTACGGTCCCCTTCACGCTCTTCCATCGTCTCTTTCCCTCTGATGTAGAAGTAGCTCAGTAGAGAGGAGAAAAGTAAAAGTGACTGCAGGCACAGAGCCAATCAGCTAGTGACAACACAGCTCTCCAGTCAACACTGACAAGAGGCAAACACTGGACTGAATCAGAAGAGAGAAGGAGGGGGGTGGGGGTG